GAAAGTGTGTTAAATATACGTTGCCGACGCGCAACTTCCTTAACACGTTGACGACATTGTGCAGCGCATGCGCATCACACCTTGAGCACCGTGTGGGACCGTGTGCAGCGCATGCGCTGCACACACAAAATATTTATTTTTTTCGCGCATGCGCTACTTCTTTTCTAATTTTTTGCATCTATTCTATAGACTACACCATAATATGACTAGACACGGCGAGGTTCATTGAATGGTTGAATATGCTCCTTTTTAGCGAAGGTTTTCTAAGCCCTACGAATTTCCCAATTGTGTTCATTCCTAGTTTCCTTTATATTCTGATAATCTTGGTCATAAAAAAGAGCAGTAGAAGTAAGTACAGACCCACACATATAGCAAGACATATGTTTTTAGTGGAGCAACCGCGTCAAAAATAATTTTGAGGTTCACTGCAGCAAAAGCAACTGAAACTTGCCTTTCATCGCCAGAAAACGTCATCTCGTTTTGCTTACATCCATCATTGTCGATTATCATTTGGATGAGGTATTCCACTTCAGTGTGTATCCTATAACTTTTCATGGAATGCGTGATCAATCAAAGCATGATCTTGCTGGAATGATGGTGGCTATCGGTTTAACATGTGCAAACGACCTCTTAATTGGTTGCTAGCTCGTCCATTATCGGAGGTCAACGGGCAAAGAAAGGGGTCCCATTTTGCGCGTTCTTGACGGATTTCTTTGCTTTTTTCGCCACTGGGGCATTATTCAGCATCTCCACTTCCACTATGAACCCAGTCCAATTTATCGTAATCCTCGCTTTAACAAAGACGTACTTTGTCCGGAAAATAATGTACGGGTCGCCCCTTATTTTCAAAGTAATCTATCCCAGCTCTGCACAAAAATTATGGATCGAAACAAAAAACACTAAAATATACACATCTTCTCGAACGGGTGCAAGTGCAACTGTTTCCTTAGATGAAATCCCGGAATTTGGAGCCGGTTAAGTAACTTCTCCGAGCACCGTAGAGAGGTTCTCCGCTGCATTGGCACTCTTTCAACGAATATAGCTCCACTCACAGACGATTTGTTCAAAATCGGAACAGACTCTGAATCTAGAAGCTTTTTTTGTTCAATGAGTGTGTGCGTGGAAATCCCAATTTTAAGGATTATATGCTTATAAATTTGACGCTGGAAACTGCATTTCTTGTTGAATAGCAAACTCCTCCCTGTAATTTCACACGGACCCTTTCAGAATCCTCTTGATTTTTCCTGAATTGAGATTTTTCTCCAGAGAGCCGTAGTTGAAGCGCGCGCAACCAACTGGGCCCACTCTGGGATGCGCCGTGTGCTTCACATCCTTCATATTGGAGGACTCATTTGAAAGATAAAATATCCTTGGAAAACGTGCGAATTTCGGATTCTTTACCGTGTCGTAATAAACCACTGAGGTAGCCTGGAATCACTACGGGGACATTACTTGTGCGGAACAACATTGTTATTGGGAATCCCACTGCCAAGCCTGCACAGCTATTCATCACTCCTTGATGCTTGTACTTCATGGAGTCCTCCGACAGTGATGATCCTACTGCATCGATCCAGCCGATCCCTTCCTTCCAGCGAGCCAGCGAGCCAAATATGACCCCCCCCCCCACCCCCCCCCCACCTTGTCGACCTGTCGAGGATTCCTCAACGCACACTTGACCCTGGCCCGGAGTACTATCGCATCAAATACGTTTCTTGGCAAATCACCTTCGTTAATGCACTTCCTATGTTTAGAACAGAAAAACCGGCCAAATATGCCCGTGATCAAAGACGACTTCTCTAGCCACAATTGCTATAAGGTGCTGTGGGAGGCATGGTGTAAAGGAGCACTGATTAGCCTTCAACCCTTTGACTACTGTTGGTACACATGTGTGCCAGATCCGTAGTCAAATACACTACCACAGTTTTGAGAAGTGTGAGTAAGGAGTGCCCGCTCGATGGCGGAACTGCGCACAAATAGAACTTTATAAATATTCAAGAATAAGTTGTCACATAGGAGGATTACCCTGAATTTATGATGCAATTCGTACCGTAGGCCACTGATCAGTGTGAGCATCTACCAAGAATTCCATTTTTAGGTTTCGCAAGCTCGGCTTGCGAAAGCTCAAGCTTAATACTAAAATGCGCACTTGTGAATGGTAATTAAATTTCCAAACTATATTTCGAAAATATTCATCGGATCAAGGATGGTGTGATGACCAGAGGGACTGCTACCGCACGCATGGTCCCTGGATCAAATCCCAGGTAAACTCTAACGTCAGCCAAATCTCCATAGATGACTAGTTGCTCCTAGAAACGATGGTCACTTAAAAAAAGCGTAGTCCAAGGGTAAATACAACTCAAACAAATATCCTTAAAAAGTCCCCGATGATTCCCCAACATCAAGAAGAGACAGGTTCAAGATATTTGCGACGATCTGAAATCATTGAGCTGCAGTGTGCCTGGCGTCGTCTACACAACAGCTCTGCACCCTGATACCACACTCGTGGTCACAACCGCGCGAACGGTATTATTCAACAGAGTTTCACTTCATGGTGACGTACCCATGTTATGGAAAATAGGTCTTGTCAAACCCTTATCTTCAAGAAAGGAGTAGGAGCAATGCCTCCATGTGTAGACCTGTATGTCTTACTAACACCGTGAACAAAGTCATGGAACGTATAGTTTGCGAGCAAATTACCAATTTTTTGGTGGACAGAGGTCTTGTTCATGACAATCAGCACGGCTTTATGAAACGCAGGCCTACTTTACCGGCCTTAATCAATGTCCACAATCCCCCTCTGGCATAGAGATTGATGAGGGGAATTTCGCTTTGCTCTAGATTACGCAAAGGCCTTCGACTCCATTTCAGCACCACTCCTTCTTGAGGAATTGGATGCATATGGCATCAGAGGGCGACTACATCTATTCTTGCGTTTGACAGGACCCAGGTGGTTCTCATAAAGATTCGCGATCCTATCCTTATCCCAGTGGCGTACCTAAGGTACGTGTCTTGACTGGATCGACTCTATCCCTCTTGCCGCATCTTGCAGTCTACAGTACGATTACGAAAAATTTTACCATAAATGATTGTCGTAAGCTTCTAGACGCCATGAGCAGTATCGAAACTTGGTCTAAAAAGCGGCATTCGAACATCTCGCTCTAAAAAACTGCTATCATATGGCTTGGGAAGAATCCGATATGTAAATTTCGACATCCTGGTGTTGTCCACACTGACAAACTTGAGTTTGATGACTTCATTCGTGAAACGCTTGCTAGTGCAAGTTCTAGTGATAACTCATTCTGAGGGCTTCAAAATGCGGGAACCTAGACTTCTATTCCATCTGTTCAATCTCTACGTCGCTCAATCCCAGAATATTGTCGCCAGTCTAGTCCTAGTCACCACATGAAAGATCTCATATTGAAGAAATCGAGAAAGTGCAAAAAAGTTACTTATCGCTGTTTTATGCGCAAAGGGTTGTCGACGCTAACATATGTGAGCGCCTACGCATGCTTAATGGAAAGTCCCTAGAACTGCGACGAGAGTTAGTTGATTTCGGTCTGATGTATGAAATTGACGATGAATAAAAATTGATCTAAAACTAGCCGATATTTTTGACATGTCCCCATCTATTGGAATCTCCAGAGGTCACCGCTATCGCTTGCGACCCTACAAACCCAATACACATGCATACGAGGGAACATTCGCTATCAGGGTGGTTTCGCTTTGGAACAAGACTCGTTTTTGATTTCACCAGATGGAAACGTACCCACACATTCCGGGATCAGTTGTCAATGTGCCTCAAACAACAACAGTTTCTTTTTTCAGAAACGACTTTAGGGCAAATGGTTTCATGGGACAGCATGGACGCCGGTTCCTCAACGGTTGACCGAAGTTGGGCAATGTATACTGGTCCAATGGAACAGTGTGAATGCTGTATACTCATACGCCACTTCCCACATATGTCATTGGGTTGAAATCTGCCAGCGTTAAGATTGTTAGCTATAGCCAGAAGCACTCTCTCTCTTGCAGCACCAGTACCATACTAGCATACCACCTGCTTCAGCAACCTTGTTGGTTAGTTTATTTTGTACTGCGCGGTCCCACTTCCTTATCATAAGACAAGTGGGAGCCCAGTTCTTGAGGTAAGGGGGACTGGGGGACTCCTGCTCGATAGATATAAGTAATTTTCAGTGATATTATACATTACCACCTTGAATAAAACTAACATTTTCGTTTCAGTGACTGTCGATCCACCCTTCTATCATCCACACCGTCCCTCCTCGCTCACTTTCACTCAATCCCATCTTTATTTTATTCTCAGGTAATATCCTAGAACTATTCATCACTGTTACATGTTTATTTTTATGCTTGTGTATGTCCATTATCTTATTGCCTCCGCCAAACGTAATCCTCACTCCTTTGGATATAGGCGTATTCTTCTTAAAGCTTAGCACTTCATTTTCCATCCCCCCTCTCATCCTTAGCCTCTTTCGCAAATGGTAGCCCTAGGAGGGGTCGGCTTACCAATATGTTGGTATCCAAAGCCGTACCCTCTCCCGGGCGGCTTGCAATTTTGGCCGATCATTGCCGCTCCCTCTTAGATAGCCCCTTCCCCCCCCCCCTTTGCCCTTGATTCTCCTGTGCCATAGCCATTCTAATGCCTTGTTTTTTCTTCTTTAACAGCTGTGTCACTAAGTAATTATTGCCTTCAAATTAATTCTTACTATGTTATATTACTTTTACATACTTCCTATTGTATCACCGTTTCCCATTTTTTATGACAACTCGTCGCCTTCTTTTGTACAATAGTGACATAAACAAATAAATAAAAACTGAGCAGGAAAAAAAACATGGCGTTACAAACTATATTCTTGATGTGTTAAAACCCTATTAGGGTCAATTGAATTCATGTTCCAGATGATGAAATCTAATTTTTAATCCTTGATTCTGGTGCTGGTACTTCACCTTCTTGTTCGCTCGCCACGTTCCCAAGAGTAGCGCGGCGGAGCTTCGCTGCTGCTCTGAATTATCACCTTCATAGGGAGAAAAAACTCTTCAGAAACTATTTCTTACCTCGCAATTGTTCTGCTCCTAGACTTATACCCGCCCTTGTAAAACTGCTTCAACATCTCGCTGCGTAGAACGTCATCTGAATGTCAAATATGTTCTAAGGGTCACGTGCGAAACGGAGACTAAACGACTTCTTTGCTCACCACCCCTTCAAATATATGCAAAAATTGAAGAATATCGTTAAAATTTCGATTTAAACATCGTAATCAAGATAATAATAAATAGATTAGTTTGATTCAACTTGTTTCTAAACATAATAACTTCATCATTATTTGTTGTGATATCATTCCATTAACTGTTTGTGGCGTATAAAGAATAGCATACCATCGGCTGCATTTTTGTCGATTAACTCAGCTATACTCTTCCACAACTGATTAGGTTTCGCTTCTGCAAGTGTTGGATCTGTCGCAATGGCTCGGCAAGACTGGAAACTTCTTTGTTCTCACAGGCAATCAAAAGCCACTAAAAATGCACTTTTCACCTGGTACACCATTCGTTGCACCTTATCCTTTGCGTTCAGCAATGGGGTGCACACATGTGCCAGTTCAGCGGGATCTCCGATGAATTCGCTTTCATTCTGTACCTGAAACGTCATACTGTCCAAGTACATTCCACGACCGTGAAAGGACTACAGTACTGCAATACTGATGGTGATGCCCTTCTTCTTGCATGCGATGCACCGATAAACTACCACCTGACTTCGCTTTATGGCACGTAGGAATGCAAAAGCATAACAATATTCTCCACCTAGAAAGAGGTATAGTAAAAGTATTATAGTTATTCCGAAACTGAACTGAGCTTATTATACCTACCTGGTAAGGAGTATCTAAGAACGGGATGAATACCCCTTTGACTGGTCTCAAGCACTCCATTAAAAAGGCGCCCCGAAAGACTCAGAAAACGACGGCGTGGAAGAGGATTTCCATCACGCGCTAAACAATAAGGATCAAAGACTTTGTGGGATCCTTCTCAAAACACTGAAAAAACGGGTCACACTTCACAAAACGGATGGAATGGCTTGGTTTACTAACAGGTCACACTAGGCGATCCTATTTTTTGCGCAAGCGCGACTTCTTTCCTTTTTTTGTACTTATGCCAGAGATCCTGGACTTCCCTGTAGGATTGTACTTCAGTGTGAGTACGAAAGATCCCAGGAAAGAATGTCGCTAGAGCAGGGAGCGCTTTTTTCGCTTTTAGTAGCGCGTAATATCTTCGCTACAGGATCTCCAGGTCATGGCATGGTCAGGGTTGGACGTGAAGTCCTTGCAGTGAGCGAAAGTTTTACGCTGCGAAAAGCAAATAAAAGTCGCTTTCTGTTCTAGCGACACCTAGATTTAGGCAAGCCTTATTATTAAGCCCAGGCATATGTTTTACTTTAGGCGTAGAGCTAGGCTTAAGCTTTCTCTTGTGAATACTAATCAATACTGACCCTATAGTCAGACATAACACGGATAACACGGATCTAACGATAAGGCTGGTGTCAGAGTCCGCAAATTTCGCTGATTTTCGCGATTCACGCGACGGATCACGGAAATCACAGGTGTTCATTCAATACTGAAAAGTGTTCTCCAATCCCGCCACCGCTTCTGCTTAACACATTGACGACATTGAGACGCGGTAACGCGTCTCACTTTGCGCACCTCGTTGGACATTGAGACGCGGTACCGCGTCTCACCCTTGTCATCCCTTTTTCTAGCGTATGCGGGGATTCTTCCCAATTTGCTTGTCTCTATTCTATGGATTACAACATAACATAACTGTAAACGACATGGGTCACGGTATGATCAAATATGCTCCAGTTTAGCAGAAGTTTTTTAAGCACAGCGGAATTGGCAGCTCGGTTCATTCCTCGTTTTCTTCCTATTCTCATGAACATGTCAGTGAGAAAGGGTAGTGAAAGTAAATACAAACTTAAAGGGATAGAAAAATATATGTTTCACTTGACACATCCACATCGAGTTTTGGCATCCACTACAGAGAAAAGGACTTGAATTCCAATTTTCTTTACCATTTCACGTTTTTTGATCGGAAATTTCGCTACTATATCTTCGATTACTTTCTACGCATTGCTGAAATGGTTTCGTACCTTTGAAGCTTCCCAAGTTATCGTTCGAAATTTACGGGTGTGAGGTGTGACGGCCGCGCTCGCAAAAGCGCCCTTGTCCCACGCGGTGCAAAAACCCAAAACGCGCGATGTCGTCAACGTGTTAATAGTGATGGCTAAATGAAGACTGCTCATGATTCCACTTGTTTCATATTCAGTGTTTCAAATGTTCAAATGGGGCACTTGCAATTTTTGCGATCCGCGCGAAGCCTGCGACGGATCACAGGAATTGAAAGTGCCCCGATCACTCCCCCCCTACTTTTTTGACGTTATCAAGAAGGCGCCGCCGCGGCGAGCACGGCCGAGCCGGTAGTGCCCGCAAATCGTGCGGGAAATTTGATTCAACAGGAACGAATCATCAGCATTTCAATGAACTAATAGACATTGAACATGAAACAAGTAGAATCACAAACAGTCGTCTTTCAATCTTTCACTGTCAAGCAGAATTCGCAGCAGGATTAAACAACACCTCGCAGTATTCATCGGGCACTTCCAACTCCTGTGATCCATCGCAGGTTTCGCGCAAATCGCGAAAATCAGCGAAACCTGCGACGGATCGCGGACTCTGACACCAGCCTGAGTAATTTCAAGATCCTGACGAGGTCCTCAAAACCGAAACCCATGGTAGGAGGTGAAGTCTCAAAACTGCGTGTGCGCCATGCATTCAAAAAAGGCAAAACCTGGGCTGTCGTCAATTGGGCAAAGGAAAACATAATCGACAATGACAAATAATACACCTAGTGCTGACTCACCAGTTCCTTTTGAAGTCGTTGGTTGCTCATTACTCGACGTCGGGGCTCTCAGAGAGGAATCTTTGGTACAGTCATTGTCATCCGCTGAAACAACTAAGAAACTCTGAATGACGGCTTCACGCTAGTTGATTATATTATGTGGGATGTTGAGATTCAACCGGCCCATGGACTAAATTACCTGGCACAAGCTCAGCAACTTCTTTCGAAGTCGTCGGTTGCGCACTCCCAGATGTCAACTCTCGCGAAAGAATCACATGTTTGGCAGAAATTATGCCATTCTCCGAAGTACCTTAAATACGAGCGATGTCATCATTTCGATCTGTTGCATAACGAGGACTGTTAATCTCATTCAGTACAGGGAGTATGTCGTGCGACAATTCATACCATATATGCAGAGTTAACGTTGTAAAGGCAGCCCCTTGGAAATCAAGGTAGAAGTGATCAGTAGTGCAGGGATTAAGAACATAACCATGAGAAACAGCTAATCAGAGAAATGAATCCCTTCTCGGTGCTGCCCTCTCCGACGCCAAAGTGCTCTCTGCTAAACGTCTACAAGCTTGGAGAGAGGGTGGGTGTACCGCGGCGCTAGCGGCGAGGGGATAGTCATGCTGATCCCACGGCATATCCTTCGCTGCAAAGTGCTTGCCGGTGAACACCCTTACCAGGAAGGTCTTTCAGGGCGTGCCAAGCTTTTTGAAAACGGTCTTTTGCATGATATAGGGGCACATGCGGGAACCACAGAACCATGGTTAATTTTTCCTGAACGGCCCTCTGAATACCAGAAAAGGGGGTCCCTAGTTCGATTCCTCGTGGTGACAAATTTTTGCATTTCGAGTTGACGTTTCAAAATTCGCGCAAAATGGAGTTAGCATGAATAATTAGTACCATATTCATGATTAGGACCGTCAGTAACCCTTACAAAAGAGTTTAAAAAATTGGTTAAAAAGCTGTGACACCAAAGTGGGGGCCGTTTTGGTGTCACAGCTTTTCACCAGTTTTTCAATCAAAGTCTATTTGTAAGGGTTACTGACGGTCCTAATTATATTATTCATGCTAACTCCATTTTGCGCGAATTTTGAAACGTCAACTCGAAATGCAAAAATTTGTCACCACGAGGAATCGAACTAGGGACCCCTTTTCTGGTATTCAGAGGGCCGTTCAGGAAAAATTAACCATGGTTCTGTGGTTCCCGCATGTGCCCCTATATCATGCAAAAGACCGTTTTGAAAAAGCTTGGCACCCCTGAAAGAACTTCCGAGTTAGAAGGCCGCCCATCATTCCACCAAGTAAGTTCCCCTTCTCCAACCTACGTGGAATCCTCCTTCAAGTAATCCAACATTTTGATAAGGATGGGAGCTCCGTGGGGGTAAGCGGAAGCGTTATACCTCCCACACCGGAAATTTCCTCTCCTTGCGAAATTCGGACCTCTGTAGACGGCAGCAACTGTTGCACCACATGCTCCTCCCCCTACTGGATAAAACCCTGGAACCCTTGTGATATGCAGCCAATGAGATAACTGGCTCTAGCTGAAAAAGAAGGCATTATGGTTCAAAAGTTCTTGTCACCTACAGAAATCTCGACTTTTACAGCGTGAGGAAGCACCGGTGCTGATGTGAAATCGTAATGAAATGGTTTGGACACACCGGAGCTTGCTCCTCTACAGAAACTGGGACTACTACAGGCGGTCCAAACAATTGCAGCCTCTCTTATTAGAAGAAACCCGCACTATTTTTCGAGATTTCCGCATGAGCTGATGAAAAAGAGGAAACTCACTTGGTGTAGCTGCTTCCTTCATCGCAGATTCATCAAATGTGGCCGCTACACCTGTAAATTGCCTTGTTTGATGGCACAATTTTAGTGTTTGATTACACTTAGAAAACAGCAAAATGTGCATCATCGTAGGGCATACTGACTACTGCTTAAAAACGAAAAATTAAGGGACGAATTCAGGTTAACTTCATTGGAGCGGGCCACGCGATAGTATGCCACTCTGCTCTCTGCTAACTGTCGGGAAGGTGTAGCGCGGAGCGCTGCGAGTCCTATAACTCAACCCCGTTTCCCCCAGGATAGCATCGGAAGATAAGGACGCTTCCGCCTGGGAGGGGCGGGGAAGCCTGCGGCTGTATTCTCAAGAGCGGGGGACGCTGGTCTGCGATTTGCTTAGGCCCTGTTCAGAGATGTCCGCCGGCGCGAAAAAACGCACAGGCGAAAATCTCCGCCAAGATTTAGATACGCATCGACTGAGAAATTGTGAAACGCGTAAGCGAAACGTCCGGAGCAGGCGAATTTCAGTCAAGAGTTTGATATGTATCGACTGTGAGAAACGCACAGGCGGAAAATCGCGTGAGCGAAGCGTCGGAAGTCGATGCGTATGATACTCATTTTCGTCGATCCTCCCACTTCACGATTCGCCTGTGCGTCTTCGTTCAGTCGATACATATTTCACATTGTTTCGCCTATGCGTTTTTTCGCGCAAGCGGACATCTCTGAACAGGGCCTTACGCACCTCGGAGTCTATCTCCCTCCCCTCAAATCTTGGTTTTAAAACTAGCGTCGCCTTGATCCTGCGCGTTGCCGTCGAGTCCGCGGAGCAACTGCGCCAGTCGCGTACCCCCCCCCTCTCCCCGACTGCGTTAGCACCGAGTTTTGTGCAGCAACTTGTTAGCGACAGCGTTATTAAGACTACTAACCGCGTACGGGTCGCTAATTCGTGAGCCAGTGGAGGGGCTGGGGGAGGTGAGTCAATTTATATTTGTAGAAAGCTGGGATGTGCAAACTATTCCCAAGCCGTCCCTTACGACAAAGCAATGGCCAGCGGTCCCCGCAACCATACATTTCGCGGCTACCATTTTCAACAGAACCCCAGGCTCACCCCAACCATTTCTGGACCTGGGATTCCAGCAGCGAAGTGTCACGTACACGCCGTCAGACGTAGTCAGCTATGAGACTTGGCATGGCTGAAGACGTGGACATGACAGAAGAAAGCCTCATACCGAAAAACACGAAAAAGGTCGCTTCTGTCTTAGCGAACCACATCGCTGCTAACCCTCTCCAAAACACACAGTCTCTTGAGAACAGAACAAACTGCGGTCAAAAGCGACAAAAATCGTAAAACTCCAAAAGGTACAAAAGAGGCTCCCAACTTTCAAGCCCAATAGGAGGGCACACATTGGCGTGTTCGGCGTAAAGTCTGATGTTCTGTGTGTGTGGTGCAACCTAACAATGTAATTACCGCCTTCAAGGTTGATGTGACCTCATGCAATTCCTGCGATTGAATTCTTTATGCAGGTGAGGGTTTTCTTACTCTTTCGCATTTCGGTATCACACACTTTTGTTTTTCATTCTTCCGATTTGTTTTGTGATAATCTCTCTTCCTTGTACGACTAAGCGAAGCTTCGCTTGGCCGTCGATTCACGGCATCGTTTGAAAATCAAGGACAGACCCATTGGACAACGATGGAGAGATTATGGCGCAGCGTGCCTCGGGGAGGGGGGGAGGGGGAGGTGGAAGGGCAGTCGCCGCCGCGGAGCGTGTGGCAACTGGAAATTCGTGAGCCAGGGGAATGTAGCCAATTCAGGGGGTCAGGGGTGGGTTGACGGACTACTTGAACTCAGTTAAACCGCCTCTGCGCTCTCTCGCGGGTCCCTCTCCTCTCCAAGGCTTAGTCCTAGGGCATTCACCCGTTAATCGTCTGTGCTCTAGCCATCGCGGCAGGACCATTGAGGAAAAATCAAGTAGTCCGTAAACCGTCGGGGGTGAGAGCAGTCACTTAACATGCGTGAGAAGTTGGAATTTTCGTGAGAAGCTGGAATGTTCGAGTTTACATCACTTCGCTATGCCTCGGCGGCGACTGCCCCCCCCCCCCCGCTCCGAAATTATATATTGGTTTTGCCGCGTTCGTTTGGTGATGATACATTTGTTCCGAAATTTGGTGTGAGGCGGAGTGGCCGGCTCTCGAGTGGAAGTAAAATTGCTGGAATAGTTTTTCTGATTCCGAGTTCCTCCCCCACAGCTTAACCGGCGCAGTGTGGCTCAGAGTGGAGATCCCGTATCATTGCGTCCTGGTCATGGAAATGCTCAGTTTCAGATCCATCCAGTACAGTGGAAGAGGGGTCTCATCCAAGGGGATAGCATTGCGATTTTGTGCGTTTGAAACTACGGAAAGCATATTCTTTTAGGTGCTAACTTAGTTGGGGGGGGACCACGCGGCGGCGCGGCGCTCTGTTCGTCTGCTCCTCTAAGGCTTAGTCCAGGGGCAGTTACTATTTCGTCGCCACGTGGCAGTTTCGAAATATGCGCCATCGGGGGACGGCGACGAAAAACGAAACTGCCAATTGGACTAAGCCTTAGAGGAGCAGACGAACAGAGCGCCGCGCCGCCGCTTGGTCCCCTCAACTAAGTTAGCACCTTCTTTTATTGCAAACGTTCAGGACTAAGCCTTAGAAGGGAAGGAGAGTCCGGGTCCGTGAGCAATCTTGGTTTCCCCGGGAGACTTCCTCCCCCTCCTTGGCTTAGTCCTGACCTGATGACTAGTGCATACTTTTCGTAGACGTTAAAGCAACAGTCCAGGCAGGGTGGGCGTGGTTGGAGACGACGGCAATCCCCTCGGCCGATTTCCTTTTTGGAGCTGTTCAGCCCCAGTCAAGAACGTAAGAAGTGTGACTGAACAAAAACTCAACTTGGAAAGCCGCCAGGAAGGGAGCTAAAGGA